TGTGAACTATGACACACGCTGAAGGTAGTGTGAACTATGACACGCTGAAGGTAGTGTGAAGTATGACACACGCTGAAGGCAGTGTGAAGTATGACACACGCTGAAGGCAGTGTGAAGTATGTACACACGCTGAAGGCAGTGTGAAGTATGACACACGCTGAAGGCAGTGTGAAGTGTGATACACGCTGAAGGCAGTGTGAAGTATGACACACGCTGAAGGCAGTGTGAATTATGACCCACGCTGAAGGCAGTGTGAAGTATGACACACGCTGAAGGCAGTGTGAAGTATGACACACGCTGAAGGCAGTGTGAAGTGTGACACACGCTGAAGGCAGTGTGAACTATGACACACGCTGAAGGTAGTGTGAACTATGACACGCTGAAGGTAGTGTGAAGTATGACACACGCTGAAGGCAGTGTGAAGTATGACACACGCTGAAGGCAGTGTGAAGTATGTACACACGCTGAAGGCAGTGTGAAGTATGACACACGCTGAAGGCAGTGTGAAGTGTGACACACGCTGAAGGCAGTGTGAAGTATGACACACGCTGAAGGCAGTGTGAATTATGACCCACGCTGAAGGCAGTGTGAAGTATGACACACGCTGAAGGCAGTGTGAAGTATGACACACGCTGAAGGCAGTGTGAAGTGTGACACACGCTGAAGGCAGTGTGAACTATGACACACGCTGAAGGTAGTGTGAACTATGACACGCTGAAGGTAGTGTGAAGTATGACACACGCTGAAGGCAGTGTGAAGTATGACACACGCTGAAGGCAGTGTGAAGTATGACACACGCTGAAGGCAGTGTGAAGTATGACACACACTGAAGGCAGTGTGAAGTATGACACACGCTGAAGGCAGTGAGAAGTATGACCCACGCTGGACGCCGGCTCCCTCTCTATGCTCCCTTCCACAGCCACGCTCCATCCCAATTCCCACCTGGGCCCTTCCCCCCCCCCCCCGGACCCCCAGTGTGAAGTATGACACACGCTGAAGGCAGTGTGAAGTATGACACACGCTGAAGGCAGTGTGAAGTATGACACACACTGAAGGCAGTGTGAAGTATGACACACGCTGAAGGCAGTGTGAAGTATGACACACACTGAAGGCAGTGTGAAGTATGACACACACTGAAGGCAGTGTGAAGTATGACACACGCTGAAGGCAGTGTGAAGTATGACACACGCTGAAGGCAGTGTGAAGTATGACACACACTGAAGGCAGTGTGAAGTATGACACACACTGAAGGCAGTGTGAAGTATGACACACGCTGAAGGCAGTGTGAAGTATGACACACGCTGAAGGCAGTGTGAAGTATGACACACACTGAAGGCAGTGTGAAGTATGACACACACTGAAGGCAGTGTGAAGTATGACACACACTGAAGGCAGTGTGAAGTATGACACACGCTGAAGGCAGTGTGAAGTATGACACACGCTGAAGGCAGTGTGAAGTATGACACACACTGAAGGCAGTGTGAAGTATGACACACACTGAAGGCAGTGTGAAGTATGACACACACTGAAGGCAGTGTGAAGTATGACACACACTGAAGGCAGTGTGAAGTATGACACACACTGAAGGCAGTGTGAAGTATGACACACACTGAAGGCAGTGTGAAGTATGACACACACTGAAGGCAGTGTGAAGTATGACACACACTGATGGCAGTGTGAAGCAAGGTGGATTGTATGAGAAAAACAGCGGACGTCAGCTCACTGCACGCTGACTTCCTCTGAGTGTGGGCTGACACCAACACACTTCCCAGCCCCCCTGCCGTATGTACTCACCTAGTTGTGCTCACCTAGTTGCGTCTGCAGGATCGAGCATTGACTCTTGGATCCCGCCTTTCGAGCATCGGTTGTTTACAGCAATGACTCCTGTCCCATTTCCCTATCATACCTGGTTTTAAAATTATGAATAGTATTTGCTTTCACAACCTGTTCCTGAAGTGCATTCCATTTTCCCACTACTCTCACGCTAAAAGAAAACTTCCTAACATCTCTGTGACTCATCTGAGTTTCAAGCTTCCATCCATGTCCTCTCGTTCTGTTACTATTCCGTGTGAACATTTCGTCTATGTCCACTCTGTCAATCCCTCTGAGTATCTTATACGTTCCTATCATGTCCCCCCTCTCCCTTCTTCTTTCTAGTGTCGTAAGGCACAGTTCCCTCAGGCGCTCCTCATACCCCATCCCTCGTAGCTCTGGGACGAGTCTCGTTGCAAACCTCTGAACCTTTTCCAGTTTCTTTATATGCTTCTTCAGATGGGGACTCCATGATGAGGCGGCATACTCTAAGACATTTACACTGTCTCACGTAGGCAGTGTAAAGCGCCCTAAATGCCTCCTTACTTAGGTTTCTGAATGATGTTCTATCTTTTGCCAGTGTAGAGTACGCTGCTGTCGTTATCCTATTTATATGTGCTTCAGGAGATAGATTAGGTGTTACGTCCACCCCCAGGTCTCTTTCACGCGTCGTCACAGGTGTGTGTGTGTGTGTGTGTGTGTTGAGGGGGTGCTCCACCACATACCCCCACCCCCAGCTCTGTGTGTAGGGGCTGACCCCCACCACACTTCCTCAGGGGCCTTGTGTGTGTGGGTCTGGCCAGAACATACGTCCGTGGGGACCGTGGGGACCGGGGGGGGGGGGGGGGGAAGGGCCCAGGTGGGAATTGGGATGGAGCGTGGCTGTGGAAGGGAGCATAGAGAGGGAGCCGGCGTCCAGACGTCATTATTCTCGTTGTCGCGGGACAGTAAGCCTGTGAATATATCGGCAAGCTTGTATCGAGGTCCCCTAACTACTGACCTTCCCCATGATGCAACCCCACTACCGTGGCCGAACACCCTGGTGACAATTAGCCTCTGCTGAGTAGAAGAATTAGGTGGAAGGAAACATGCCCAATCATTTCTGTCCCGCCTGTATATGATGGGGTTCAGTTGTATTTGTTACCAGGCGGATGCGATCACTATTTGCACCTAGATTCATCAAACAGTTGCGTGTTCTCTTACGAAACTTATATTTATTAGTTTACGATGACCAGACCACACACTAGAAGCTGAAGGGACGACGACGTTTCGTTTCACAATCGACTTGAGAATGGTCCAGGACGGACCGAAATGTCGTCGTCCCTTCACCTTCTAGTGTGTGGTCTGGTCAACATACTCTAGCCACGTTATTGTGACTCATCGCCTGCATATTAGTTTATGATCTTGGCAACGTTGCGAGGTGGTCCTAGACCCACACTACGCCGCCATGGTTGAGGAGAGTGGTAGACCTCGAACCGGGGCCACGAAGGAACACAAGTACACGAAGCAACATAAGTGCCAAACTTATCCCCGTCGTGGCACTTACGTCGCGGTTCACTAAGATATTTCCCAACACCGATCCTGCTAAGGACACCGCCTCACTCTACGACACCTCTACAGCACTCGTAGCTCTACGTAAGTCGGATATAACTAAAGTTTTCTCAACTACACAACTGGGAACTCTTAAATACAGTACCGTGGTGGGCGGGCCCACGGCGCATCCCGTCATGCTGCTGATATGTGCTGGTGTCTGTAACTCGTATTAAATATGTATTTTATGAAAAGAAACACAAATTACCTCAAGTTATTACCCATATAATGTGTCAAAATACAAAACATTGAATAATAAAGCCTTACCTAACCTCACCCGGACCAATACACTGGAGGTACACAACACATAATAACGTGTTATAATACTTTCACTAAGTTATACAAAGTACATTACTGTAATTAAAGTAACTAACGAAGCCACGAAATATTTCTTAGAATCATATAGATAAAGACAAAACTGTAACATACACGTTCATTACAGTGTGGGTGCTGACTGTACAGCTTCAAAAATCATAGTTTTACTTGGAAATAAACTAGTTCTCTGACAAGACGTAAAGAAGTAGCAGGAGGCAGCTGAGCGGTGGGAGCAGCCATGTAAGAAATGGTAGATTACATGGTCCTTAATAATACTTAACGTTCTATATATCAATTGATTGGCATACATATTAAGGTTAATGTAACTACCTGTCAAGATATATAGCTTATGTGTGAACTAAGATAATCATGCTTCGACAGTATTTAGGCACTAACTACCATAATTGCAGGACAAACAGATACGATTGGTCACTTCTCCAGCTGAGCTAGCAACGTGATTGGCTAAACAATAAGATGAACAATGTTGTCTCTCTGATTGGTCAAATGAAAAACACCTGTGACATGTATCGAGAATTAAGTAAACTACATCAAAATTGCTAAAAACCTCGTACGATCACCTTCGTGATTCGTGCGTACGGGTCTTACGACAGAGTGTCAATGAACCTTCATAACACCGCGTCGTAAGGAGAAGTACGAGACGCTTAGTGAATCTCAGTCCATGAAAGCTGGCAGGAAAGCTGGAGAGAAAGCTGTCGGGAAAGCTGGAGAGAAAGCTGGTGGGAAAGCTGGTGGGAAAGCTGGAGAGAAAGCTGACGGGAAAGCTGGAGAGAAAGCTGGCAGGAAAGCTGGTGGGAAAGCTGGAAAGAAAGCTGGTGGGAAAGCTGGAGAGAAAGCTGGCGGGAAAGCTGGAGAGAAAGCTGGTGGGAAAGCTGGCGGGAAAGCTGGAGAGAAAGCTGGTGGGAAAGCTGGAGAGAAAGCTGGCGGTAAAGCTGGAGAGAAAGCTGGCGGGAAAGCTGGAGAGAAAGCTGGCGGGAAAGCTGGAGAGAAAGCTGGCGGGAAAGCTGGAGAGAAAGCTGGCGGGAAAGCTGGAGAGAAAGCTGGCAGGAAAGCTGGAGAGAAAGCTGGCGGGAAAGCTGGAGAGAAAGCTGGCGGGAAAGCTGGAGAGAAAGCTGGCGGGAAAGCTGGAGAGAAAGCTGGCGGGAAAGCTGGAGAGAAAGCTGGCGGGAAAGCTGGAGAGAAAGCTGGCGGGAAAGCTGGAGAGAAAGCTGGAGAGAAAGCTGGTGGGAAAGCTGGCGGGAAAGCTGACGTTGTTGCGTGGGAAGGTAAGAGTTCAGCCCACAAGGACACAGTTTCTCGATTCACCCATCTGACGCAAGAATGGAAACTTGGTAATTTTCCCCCACACACTGTGTGTTACCCCCCACACACTGTGTGTTACCCCACACACACTGTGTGTTACCCCACACACACTGTGTGTTACCCCACACACACTGTGTGTTACCCCCACACACTGTGTGTTACCCCACACACACACTGTGTGTTACCCCCACACACTGTGTGTTACCCCACACACACTGTGTGTTACCCCACACACACACTGTGTGTTACCCCCACACACTGTGTGTTACCCCACACTCACACTGTGTGTTACCCCCACACACTGTGTGTTACCCCACACACACTGTGTGTTACCCCCACACACTGTGTGTTACCCCACACACACTGTGTGTTACCCCCCACACACTGTGTGTTACCCCCACACACTGTGTGTTACCCCCCACACACTGTGTGTTACCCCACACACACTGTGTGTTACCCCACACACACTGTGTGTTACCCCACACACACTGTGTGTTACCCCACACACACTGTGTGTTAACCCCACACACTGTGTGTTACCCCCACACACTGTGTGTTACCCCCACACACTGTGTGTTACCCCCCACACACTGTGTGTTACCCCCACACACTGTGTGTTACCCCCCACACACTGTGTGTTACCCCACACACACTGTGTGTTACCCCACACACACTGTGTGTTACCCCACACACACTGTGTGTTAACCCCACACACTGTGTGTTACCCCCACACACTGTGTGTTACCCCCACACACTGTGTGTTACCCCCCACACACTGTGTGTTACTCCCCACACACTGTTTGTTACCCCACACACACTGTGTGTTACCCCCACACACTGTGTGTTACCCCCACACACTGTGTGTTACCCCCACACACTGTGTGTTACTCCCCCCCCCCCCCCCACACACACACACACACACACACACACACACACTGTAAGTTACCCCCACACTCAACGGGGCAGCGAGGTCGGTGGACGGATTGGAAAAAAAAATTAGTGTTAGTGATTGATTTTCATTGGAGCATTAACCTTGGGAATGGAAGGAGCTGAGAGTCAAAGTTTGGATATTGTGAGTATGAACGCCGGACACCTGCTGGTGGGAGAGGGAGCCCCCGCACCCATTTATTAAACTCATATCCAACCACATACGAAGCCTATTCATCTTTCCTTAATCATGGCGGCAATTTTTACATCTATTAAATAGTGTATTAGCGCAGAATAACTCCGGGTTGTGAAGTTTGGAAGCTCGTAACCTGTTTAACGATTCTAAACAACGCCGCCATGATTATGGAAAGATGTATAGGTTTCGTAAGTGGTTTCATAAATGCTTGGTGAATCCTGGTCGTCTCAATACACAATTGTATTTCCTAACCAGGAATGTAGTAACCCAAGCAACCCGCCTCACATGTGGACGCCGAGGCATGACAACACGTCAGTATTACAGTGCTTTAATTTTGATTTAAACTTGACATTTTTAACGGATTGTAAATTACGAAAATAATGCGACGTCAAGTGAGAGGACAGGTTGGTCCTCGTTTCCACCCAGAACTATACTAAGATATGCATGTTACATTATATAAATACCTTTACCACACACACACTGTGTTACACCCAGACACCGTGTGTTACACCCCCCCCCCCCACAGTGTGTGTGTTCCCCCCCACACACTGTGTTATTCCCACACACAGTGTTATCTCCACACACTGTGTTACACCCAGACACCGTGTGTTACACCCCCCCCCCCACAGTGTGTGTGTTCCCCCCACACACTGTGTTATTCCCACACACAGTGTTATCTCCACACACTGTGTTAACCTCATACAAAGAGGTTGTGAGACTACATAACAGGCACCATGATGATGGGAGGACCAAGAGTAGTAGTAGCGGTGATATGTAACCCTCCACCAAACGACAGAAGACCAAGGCAAGAGTATGACAACAACAACATGGCAGTTAAAAATATAACTGAGAGGGTAACTTCTGCTGCCTGTAGAATTCGATCCCATCTGCCCATCATGGGGGACTTCAATCTTGGAAGGATAGACTGGGAGAACAAGGGACCGCATGGAGGAGAGGGTACATGGCGAGCCAAACTAGTGGAGGTGGCGACAAGAAACTTTCTAAGTCAACATGTCAGGGAACCCACTAGGATGAGATGAAACGATGAACCAGCGAGACTCGACCTTGTCTTCACTCTGAACGACTCAGACATAAGGGAAATCGGTTTTGAGGCCCCAGTAGGAATGAATGATCACAGTGTACTGGTGTTTGAGTACCTGGTTGAAGAAGGGTTATTGAACTCGAGAAGGGGTACTGAAAACAAAAGACTGGTATTCCGAAAGGAAAACTATGAGGAGATAAAAAAAATCCTAACAGATATAACATGGGAAACAGAGCTCAGGGGAAAGACGGCCCAGGACGTGATGGACTACATCACGCAGAAGTGCAAGGAAGCAGCAAACAAGTTTGTCCTAGTCCAAAAGGAAAACAGTGAAATGAAGCGAAAAGTGAAAAAGAAACCCATGGTTTAATCAGAGATGTAGGCTAGCTAAGCAGCAAAGTAAAAGGGCGAGGAGAAACTATAGTAACAACAGGACTCTTGAAAGCAGAGAAAGATACCAGAGTGCCAGGAATGAATATGTCAGGAGGAGAAGAGAGGCAGAAAGACAATACGAAAATGACATCGCAAGCAAGGCAAAGAATCAACCTAAATTTCTGCACAGCCACATCAGGAGAAAAACAACAGTAAAGGAACAGGTTGTGAAATTAAGGATAGGGGCAGAAGGATTCACTATAAACGACAAGGAAATGTGTGAGGAACTGAATAAGAAATTCCAGAAGGTTTTCACCTTAGAGCAAGGAGAAATCCCAGAGATAAGAGAGGAAATAGTTAACCAGGAACCACTAGAAGAGTTTGAGATTACCAATGGGGAGGTAAGGAAGTTGTTATTAGAGTTTACCTGGTTGATACCTGGTTGATGGGGTTCTGGGAGTTCGTCTACTCCCCAAGCCCGGCCCGAGGCCAGGCTCGACTTGTGAGAGTTTGGTCCACCAGGCTGTTGCTTGGAGCGGCCCGCAGGCCCACATACCCACCACAGCCCGGTTGGTCCGGCACTCCTTGGAGGAATAAATCTAGTTTCCTCTTGAAAATGTCCACGGTTGTTCCGGCAATATTTCTTATGCTTGCTGGGAGGACGTTGAACAACCGCGGACCTCTGATGTTTATACAGTGTTCTCTGATTGTGCCTATGGCACCTCTGCTCTTCATTGGTTCTATTCTACATTTTCTTCCATGTCGTTCACTCCAGTACGTTGTTATTTTACTGTGTAGATTTGGTACTTGGCCCTCCAGTATCTTCCAGGTGTATATTATTTGATATCTCGTCTTCTTTCTAGTGAGTACATTTGGAGGGCTTTGAGACGATCCCAATAATTTAGGTGCTTTATTGCGTCTATGCGTGCCGTATATGTTCTCTGTATTCCCTCTATTTCAGCAATCTCTCCTGCTTTGAAGGGGGAAGTGAGTACTGAGCAGTACTCAAGACGGGACAACACAAGTGCCTTGAAGAGTACAACCATTGTGATGGGATCCCTGGATTTGAAAGTTCTCGTAATCCATCCTATCATTTTTCTGGCTGTCGCAATATTTGCTTGGTTATGCTCCTTAAACGTTAGGTCGTCAGACATTATTATTCCCAAATCCTTTACATGCTGTTTTCCTACTATGGGTACATTTGATTGTGTTTTGTACTCTGTATTATGTTTAAGGTCCTCATTTTTACCGTACCTGAGTACCTGGAATTTATCACTGTTAAACATCATGTTATTTTCTGATGCCCAGTCGAAAACTTTATTAATATCAGCTTGAAGTTTTTCAATGTCCTCAGCCGAGGTAATTTTCATACTGATTTTTGTGTCATCTGCAAAGGATGATACGAAGCTGTGACTTGTATTTTTGTCTATATCTGATATGAGAATAAGGAAAAGCAGTGGTGCAAGGACTGTACCCTGAGGTACAGAGCTTTTCACTGCACTTGGACTAGATTTTATATGGTTGACAGTTACTCGCTGTGTCCTGTTTGACAGAAAACTGAGTATCCAGCGTCCTACTTTACCGGTTATTCCCATTGACTTCATTTTGTGTGCTATCACGCCATGGTCACATTTATCGAAGGCCTTTGCGAAGTCCGTGTATATCACATCAGCATTCTGTTTCTCTTCTAATGCCTCAGTGACTTTGTCGTAGTGCTCAAGTAGCTGTGAGAGGCACGATCTTCCCGCTCGAAATCCATGTTGGCCTGGGTTATGAAGGTCATTGGTCTCCATGAAATTGGTGACCTGACTCCTAATCACTCTCTCAAATACTTTTATGATGTGCGATGTTAGTGCAACTGGTCTATAATTTTTTGCCAATGCTTTGCTCCCTCCCTTGTGTAGAGGGGCTATGTCTGCTACTTTAAGTGCATCTGGTATCTCCCCCGTGTCCAAGCTCTTCCTCCACACTATACTGAGTGCCTGTGCTACCGGCACTTTGCATTTTTTTATAAATATTGAATTCCATGAGTCTGGACCTGGGGCCGAGTGCATGGGCATGTTTTCAATTTCTTTTTCAAAATTTAGTGCGCTCGTGTTTATATCAGTTATATTTACCGGGGTTTGAATATCCCGCATAAAGAAATTGTCTGGATCTTCCACCTTCATGTTGTTTATTGGAGTGCTAAACATGTCCTCATACTGCTTTTTTAGGATTTCACTAATTTCTTTGTCATCCTCCGTGTATGAACCTTCACTTGTACGAATAGGTCCAATACTGGCAGTGGTTTTTGCTTTTGATTTCGCATATGAGAAAAAATATTTTGGATTTTTCTTTATTTCCTGAATTGCTTTCTGTTCTAACTGCCTTTCTTCAGTTTCATATGAGTGTTTCAATTTCCGCTCGATTTCTTCAATCTCCCTATT